GATAGATAGATAGATAGATAGATAGATAGATAGATAGATAGATAGATGATAGATAGGATAGAAAGATAGAAAGAGATAGAAAGATCAAAAGATAGATAGATCGATAGATCGATAGATGAAAGAGAGATAGATATAGATGACAGAAAGATAGAAAGATAGATAGAAAGATAAATAGAAAGAGATAAATAGATAGATAGAAAGACAGATAGATAAATAGACAGACAGACAGAGATAGATATAGATATATGGATATATGGATTTAGATATAAAAAGAAAGTTTGAGCTCCGTTGTGGTTGTTAGGGAAGGATTCCCTGTGTTGAAATAAAGAAGGGTTGGAGGTAGAAAGGAGAAGTTCTTGAGATGTTTCTCCTACATTCAGACAACTGACGTTTCAGAGAGGTCTATTTCCATGGAGCACGAAGTCGGCCAGAGTTGACCGAAACCATCTCCATGGCCGATAGCGAGAGGAAAACAGAAGGGGGGGGGTTGAGATGGCCTGGGGTGGCAGGACGATCCCACCAAACCCGTCCGACAAGCAAAGCTAGGCCATCCATTTCTCTTTGACCCATATATTTTGGAGACCTTCTCGTAGGTGACCATCGGTAGATCAAACCTCAGGAGATGCTTCCAAAAATATATCCTCTTTTTTAAGTTTTTTGTGCCCTTACAGATAGACTCCGCGACTGTTAGCAACCATTCCAAGTTACGACGGCCCCGAAAGCGACCGAGGGACTGTTTCCCCACACTTACGACCTCCCCCACCCAAATTGGCGACAGGGGGGGATTTTCCTCTTTGCAACCATCCAGCCAGCGAGGGGTTCAGCTTTAACCCCCGGGTTGCTGACCTAACGCGTGCAATGGGTTCCCCTTAACGACGGCGGCCAAAGAGCAGTCGCAAGATGGGGGCAAGAGCCAGCGTCTCGCTGAACGGCGGAAAGTTGGGGCTTGTCATAAGTCGAGGGTGGAAAGCAACACCTGAACTTTAAACGAAACGTTTGGGGCGCCCCAAAAGAGATCAAGATGGGGGTTGAACGTCGAGGACATTCCCTGGGGTGGAGCCTGCAGGGCAGAGCCCATCCTGCTTACGCATCTAAAGGTTATGTGCTCAGGTGCGGCTGCTTCCCAAACAGGTGAAGACCCTCCAGGCTTAACCCCAGGGGGAAAACCTCGGTTGAGTCATGGGGGGAGAAAGAGGCCACGGTTCAAGTTTCTGGGGATGGAGAGGGAGAGGAGGAGGGAGGGGAAAGGATGGAAGGAAGGAAGGAAGGAAGGAAGGAAGGAAGGAAGGAAGGAAGGAAGGAAGGAAGGAAGGAAGGAAGGAAGGAAGGAAAGGAGGGATTGGTTGGTGGAAAGGAAGGAGGGATGGAAGGATGGAAGGAAGGAAGGAAGGGAAAAGGGATTGGTGGATGGAAAGAAAGGAAGGAAGGCAGGAGGGAGGGAGGGAGGAAAGGAAGGAAGGAAAAAATCATTTTAATGTGTGCATTTATGTATTTAATACATTGTGTATTTAATATAATGTACATTTAAAGTGACAATAAAGTTATTCTAAGAAGAAAGGAAGGAAGGAAGGAGAAACGGAAGGAAGATAGGAAGGAAGGAAAGAAAAGAAAGAAAAAAGGATGTAGATACCGTAGATGATAGAATATAGATGACAGAAAGACAGAGAGAGGGATAGATAGATAGATAGATAGATAGATAGATAGATAGATAGATAGATAAGGAAGGAGGAAGGAAGGAAGGAAGGTCGGTCTTCTACTGCAACCCCCTCCTCAAGCTCTCTTCTTCAAAGTCTCCAGCGATGACACACCCACAACTTCCGGAGGCAACTGATAGGAAACCAATATTTTTCCACCTCCACCACCTCTTCCTCCTTCTCCTCACCTCGACGTCCGAGTTGAGCGATGCTGCGTGCCTGACCTCTGCCCTGCACGCACCTC